CCCCCCCCCCCCTCCCTCGAGCTCTCGGTCGGTCAGTCATGTTTTGCCGTCCATGAGCTGGAACGCCCTCCTAATCGACGGCACGAAGACCCGCGTGCACCTTGCAATCGAGCTCACGTGGCCCCCCTCCAGCCACACCTCCTCCACTGTGCCGCACATGCGAACGAGCTCCTTGATGAGCGCCAGGCCGTCACTACGGACCACAAACCTGTCGTGGGAGGCCGTCGTCACCACGCACTTGAGGCCCTGCACGTGCACGTGAGCGTTGGTGTGGGTGTGGTGGATGAGCTCACGCAGGTCACGGGCGGCCAGTATCTCGCTCAGGTGGTCGTAGGCCTGCACCATGCATCGATCGATGTGCAGCCATGCACTTTACCGTCAACACACGACCGCGAGTGTTCGAGAGGACGGACGGCCCACCTGCTGTCTGGTGTGGCTCTTCTCCTCCATGAGCGTCTGCCAATCGATCTGGCTCACGAGCAGGCCCCCAACGATGGCCTTCGGGGAAGAGCTGCTCACGCAGGGAGCGACAGCCACGCCCCCGGCCGCAACAGATGCGGGAAGGATAGACGCCGCACACGCCGCCTGAGTCGATCCATCCATCGCATGGCACACACAGGTCCATCCATCCATCCATCCATTCTTTGCTGTGGTGTGCTGACCATGGCGCCTCCGTAGCTGATGCCCGAGAGGCACACGTGTGTGTCGGGCCACTCCTGCTGCGCCCACTTGACCAACTTGGCCGCCTCTGTAAAGGTCGTCTTTTACACATACAATTCAGACATACAGACACATAGACCCCTGCGCCAATGGCAGACACGTCTTCTCTCTCCCCTTCGCCCCCCCCCTGTCTCGCTCCTCCATCCCACCGATGCAGAAATGAGGTACTCGGCCACATTGCGCACATAATGTCTCCTCTGCGACCTCGGCTTCCGTTTGCCATAGTAGGGCCCGACAAGGATGATCGACGCATAGCCTTCCAGCGCGAGAGGGATCCCCAGCGTCTTCCTGCGAAAGCCGTAGCCCATGTCACCTGTCTGCGGCAGGTGGATCACCTGATCCACGTGGAATCACACACAGACAGACAGAGAGTCTGGATGAGCGATACACACGAGTTTCGTCCTGACCACGCCTCTGACGTGCCTGCCCCCTGCCGGCGCCACCACCTGCACATAGGCGGTCTTGCTCTCCTCACAAGTAAAGGCCCCGCAGGGACTCGCAAAGGAGGCGTTGCGGACAGAGACCTCCCCCTGCTGCTCCAACCCATGTGTGTCATCCTCCCACTCCATGTGGTGGATGTCAGGGAAGGCCACATCAATGCCCTTGTCCACCATGCCCTCCAGCTCCTCACACCGCGCTAGATCTCCATAGCCGTCGGCAAAGAAGCGATGATCTTTTCCCAGCAGGAGCCTGACCACGGCAAAGCGGGCAAAAGGCAAGAGGGGCTTGCTGACTGGATGAGTCATTTTCGCACGAACGACGGTGTGTGTGCGCTGACCTCATGAGTAGCCCAGCGAGAGTATCAAAGAAGCACCCCAGGAGCCAGCTTATCCACGATGTTGAAGGCTCGCGACTGGGCTGCGCCATCACGCCAACAAGTCTTTAAGGCTTCAAGCTTCAAGACAGGACGTTCCGGTCATCCAGCGAGATGCTGACAGCAACAGCAAACAACACGGTGACTGACAATGTATCGCATGCACCCACAGCGATCAGCAAACCAGATCTTGCAAGTCCCCGCACCCGCCTCGACAGATTGCAACGCGACAGAGGAGTAGGAGAAAGAGAACCTGCCACACCACACCATATGCACCACAACAGCAGCACATCAACAGTATGAATTCCCAGTGTCCACACAGCTGCATACTACGAAGGCAGACAGGCGATTCAGGCGTGGTGGAGGACAACGCTCAGGCCCATGACAGTGCTGTCCAGCAGCGATGCGGCGAGAAAGCAAGCTGTGAAGGTAGAGGCGCGATCCACGAGACGCATCGGCTGCGAGCACGTAGCCAAGGCCTCGGCCCGTTCGAGAGCAAGGTCGGACGTCCGCAAGAGCCGTGCTCCTGACGACTCGATGGATCTCATAGGCAGATCTGAGCACCTGCCATGCAGCGTGATGATTGACATGGTCTGATCCGAGCAGATCTGCAACGGCGATGGCGACGTTGCACGCCCGTCGGCGGATGCAGCTGCCGACGGGACGGATGGCGAGGCGGGCATTCGCCACGCATGACCAGGACAGGTGGGTGGGTGATTCATTCATTGAGCTGCGGTGCAGTGAGTGCATCATGACGCTGCTTCGGCCTACAGGTTTGTGAGGGACCGTGCGGCCCTTTCGTCGAACGGCTCACTGGCGACGCTCGTGAGCGACTTTGAGTGGCACCACCGGAGGGCACAGGTTAGTCAGTCAGACGTGCACACACGATGCGCGTAAGTCCATCTCTGTCTGTCTGTCTGACTGTCTGTGGATGGATGGATGGATGTGTGTGGGTTGCTTGGATGCTTGCTGTCAGGTGGGTGCGACAATCGGCAGGTGGACGCGCCTGCTGCGCGAGGCCGCGAGGAATGTCGATCAGCTGTCGGCCAGCCATGCAGGCAAGCGCCTGTCAGTCAGTCACTCGGCCAGCCAGCCTGTGAGTGAGTGAGTGTGTGTGTGTGTGTGTGTGTCAGCTGAGATCGCTTACTTTATCACCAAGAGTGACTTTGGGGGGGGCGACGAGCTGCTCCCGACACTGTTTGACAAGACAATGAAGGTCGGCCCACCAGTCAGTCAGGTCACACACGTATGTGTGACCTGCGTGTGACGCCCGTGGGCAGGAATGGGAGAGTCTTGGCGGTATGCAGCTGCACCGATTCCTCAGATCAATGGTCCACAAACAGGCAAGCACACACACAGACACACACACACACACACACGCGCGCACGCGCCATGGACCTGCCTGCGCCTGATTGTGATTGTGATTTTGTGTGTGTGTGTGTGTGTGTGCAGGAGCTGGTTCACCGCCCGTGGTTCTTCACCATAGCCGACACGCTGACCAAGCGGCACTCGCACCTGCAGCTCAACGTCATCAAACTCATCATCGAAGACTTCGCGTCAGTCAGGGACACCAAACGACAAACTCACAGCGCCCACATGCAGACAGACAGACAGACAGACAGACAGACAGAAGGGTGTGTGCTGTGATCCGACTGCACCAACAGGGTGATATACGAGTACCGGTACGAGCCTTTGTTTCGGTCGATAGCCGAGACCATCACCAAGACCTCCCACTACCTCGACCCAAAGGGCTGTGTCTTCATCCTGCACGTACCAACCGCATCCACACACCAACAGCAGTCAGTCACTCGTCCATCCATCCATTCTGTGTGCTGGTGTGTTGTGTGTGCGTAGGCTTTTGCGCGGGCCAAGTACCGTCACGAGCCGCTGATAAACGCGCTGCTGCCTCGCTTGGAGACCTTGATGGACAGACTGCCGTTCGACCTGCAGTGCCTGGTGAGCGACCGGGCGAATATATAAATCGGTGAATGGGTGTGCGAATGTGCGTGCAGCTGGTGAGGAGCCTGGCCAACCTGGGGTGCAGACCTGGGCCTGAGGTGGGTGGGACAAGGGGTGGTGGGTGGAGTCACTCACTGACGACGGCGCACTCTGCGTGCGTGTGGATGCACGGATTGACTGATGCCAACAGCTGTTGGAGCACTTCGACCGCACCCTGGTGCCCCCGCTGCTGGTGGAGCCCAAACGGGGCAAGCCAACGCAACGACAACAGCCACTACAGCAGCAACAGGATGAACAGCAGGACATCCACTTTGTCAACAGGTGGGTGGATGGATGGATGGATGAGCACTGAGACATCAGATGTGTGTGTGTGTTTATGTGCAGGGGAGGCTGCATGAGCGACGAGTGGGACGAGGGCGATAACGACGGCAGCAGCAAACCAATCGACGGCGGTGAGCGTAACCACAGACGCGCCTGCACATCTGTGTGTGGTGTGGTGTGGTGTGGTGTGGCTGACATCGAAGGCACGGTCCCGTCCCACTGCCTGACGTGGGTGGCCGACGGTTTCCTTCGCCTGCAGCACTTCGGACCAGTTCCCGCACTAGTCGAGGTAGCCAGCCACCTCCCCAACACGTACCCATCCATCCATCCATCCATCCACAGACACACACACGCAGCGGTCCCTTTGTGTGTGATCAGGCGTTGCTGAAGCGATCAGACGAGCTGAACTACCTGGGCCTGGTCGACACGGCCGTCATGGCCGCCATGGCGGGCGGAGGTGAGTACCTAACTGACCCATCCGCTCACACGATAGCAGGGATTCCGTCTGTCTGTCTGTCTGTCTGTGTGTCTGTGTGTCTGTGTGTCTGTTTGCGTAACTCGACAGGTTGGCCGGGGACGAGAGGGGCGGCGCCGCCCATTCCCGATGACCTGTTCGACCGGATGCTCCATGTCCTCACCACGTGGGTGTGTGGGTGCGTGGGCGGATGTGGGCAGACAGACCCCTGTCACTTGTGGGTGCAGCAAGTGCATCGAGCGCATCGGCGAGTTCACGCCCTCGGTGGCGTGCTCCACTCTTGAAATGATGACGCGTATACAGAAACTCAACGTACGGAAAGACCACAGACAAATGACGTGTGCACTCTCTCTCTCTCTGTCTGTGTGTATATGTGTGTGTGTGTGTGCTGCCATCAGCCATGTTCCCCACCCCCTGCCGCCGGTGGGTCGGCTGCCCCGCTGCCCCCCCTGCCCCCCGTGTTTGTGACCTTCATCCACATGCTCTTCTTCCGAATCGCTGCACTCGACGCCCGGTAGGTCGGCATCGATGGAACCGATAGATCAACGGACACACATGCCGGTCTGGCTGTCTGTCTGTCGTGTGGCTGCGTGGATGCATTGATTGACTGATTGGTGCAGGAATCTGTCCACCTTTGTGACGGCACTCCACCGGCTCAATTGGCGCAGATACGAAGACGGTCAGCCACCCAGCCATTCCAGCAAGCACGATTGAGTGTCCATTTGGTCACTTTTGTGTGCGTGGTCGCAGAGTGTCCGGACGCGGTGCTGCCGTGCGGCAAAGGCCGGAGGTTTGCCACCGCGCTGAGCCGACTCGTGGCGCGGGAGATGCTCAGGTGGGCACCTACTCACAGCCCCCCCCCAACACCCACGACACATCTATCCGTTAGGAAGCTGGAATTCTTCGCGCCGAGTTTTCTGCTGCACACGGCCGCCCTTTGTTGCCAGCCGACACTCAGACTCGACAGGTGCGTGCGTCAGCGGCGCTCATGTGGGAGATCCCACCCCATAAGTGGCCGGCTGTGTGTGCTGTGCCGGCTTTGTGCTTGTGTGGGTATATCTGTCGCTTAGGGTGGAGACAGAGGGCCACCGCGAGCTGATTGTTGAGCTGCTCGACAGGTAAGTGGCTGGATGGAGGGTGGGCCGCTGGGATGGTCCACCTGTCTGTCTGTCTGTCTGTCTGTCAGGTGCCGTGTGATGTATGACGAGGGCAAGCTGACGCGCGACGACATCCTCAGAGTCGACTACGTTGTCGACATCTGGAAGGTCCGTGCGCTGATCGGTTGGCTGACCGATTGATTGGCTTGGCGCCTGTCTGTCCCTCTGTGTGTCTGTCTGTGTGCAGCGTGCCGACGGCGGTGTGTCGCGGGCATATTGCCCTGAGCCACTGCACAGCTTCCTCACCAAATGCCACACCGGGGAGGCACTGCACGCAGCGCTCCACACGACACCCAACACGCACACAAGTGGATTGATGGGCGAGCGGCGAGCGGCGGACAGTCACTGATGTGATGTGTGTGTGTGTGGATAGCCACAGACAGAGAGAGAGAGAGAGAGAGAAATATGGAGATCGACTTGTGGGTGGGGTGGCATAGCACAGGGAAGCAGACAATGCATTCAATGATGATATGAGAAACTCGACCGACATGAGCGCATCGGACGGACGCATTGGATCTGGCGAATTGGAGCGGCCGTGTGCTCCCATTCTAGCGAACGAACGAACTTATTTGTGTATGTGTGTGTGTGTTTGCCGCCATCAATTGGTGCCGAACGCGCCAATGCATTGAATTCGCATACATGTATCTTGCGTGAGCCGGTCAGCGAGGGACAAACGACCATGTGCTCACGGCCCCGGATATTCCGTGCGCACCCCCAGCTGCTGCTGCACTATCGACCGACAGCTGGTAGTGGCTGCCAGACGCACCGGCCGTCACGACGCACCTGCACGCAAACACACACACGCCACCCTGCAGCATAGTATACATCTAGCTCTTTGTGGATCCCATCCCTCCACGCGCACCCCACGCACGGCGCATGCACTTAGCGCAGCCATGATGTCATCCGCCATGCCATGATCGCTCCTGTGTGCGCCACGTCATGGATATGTGTCTGTGCACAAGCCACCTGTACGTGTCAGCGGCCTGCGGTGTGGCGAAGATCTTGTCGGTGGGCGACGAACCACACACACTGCGCACGAGGAGATCATCCTGTACATCTACCTGTCTCTCCACCGCATCTTTTCAAATGTCTCGCTGTCTCCCACTGCGCGTTTTCAATCTTCGGTGCCTCCACCGCAGTTTTTCATTTCAGGCAGTTGCCCGCCACACAGTAAAAAAAAAATGGGAAGCGAGTTTACGGCCAGGAAAACCCGAGGGCCGGGCGAGAGAGCTGCGAGTTCTTGTTCTCCTCTCTGAGCCGCCAGTGAGCCCATCGTCTGCGAGGTTTGCTGAGCCGTTGGCGATGATCGTGATGCGTCGTTTCGGCCTCGGGTTCATCTTGGTGGTCGGCCTGGCCGCCACTGTGCAGCCGCTGCTGGCGGCCCAGCGCACCGACGACCGAGGTGTGCCACAGGGGGACACACACGCACCGAAGCGACCATGCACCATGGCAGATCTGCCCATTCTTTGTGTTTTCGGTGCTCTTTTGTCCATTTGGATGGCTGATCTATGGCTGCAGAGGCGTGGGTGGGCGAGGGAAGCCACGGTCCCGACTGCGAGGAGGGGAAGGACTGCAATACCGACGCATACGGTGGGCGGAGCTCTCCATCTGTGAGATCTATGGACGTGTGTGGCCGTTCCTTCGACTTGTCCGTCCGCTATGTGCAGGTGCGTCGTTTGTCGGCCGTGGTGAGGAGATCCAGGCCGCTACGGACACCGCCATGGCCGCCAACAAACACGGTGCGTCCACCTGCACCCACACACATGCTGCACACATGGCACCCTCTCTCTCTCTGTGCAGGTGCTGTGTTGGGTGCTGGTGAGCGGTCGATGCTGCTGCAGCAGATCCAGATGGGCAAGGCAATCGGCCAACAAGCTCACCAGTGCCACCAACGAGCTGAGCGGCTCAGCCCTCGCCGCCATCGACAACGTAGAGGACCGCATCCGTGGCCTAACAGGTACACACACACACAGACACACACACACACACACGAAGGCAGCTGCTGTTGGGAATGCACCATCATGTGTCTGCCTTTGTTTGCCCGAATGGATTGACGGGTGGCTGCAGCTGACGGAGCCGCATACGATCAGCCTCGCGGTGCCGCCACCATCACTGACTCGCAACACGTACGCGTGACCAGACCCGCTGCACAGCTTTCGTTGTGTCTTCATCTGCATCTCTCTCTCTCTCTCTCTGTGTGTGTGTGTGTGTGTTTATGTGTAGCCTGGCCGCAGCGGTGGGCGCTACACGTCGTACTCCCGTTCGAGCCGCACACAGGAGGATCTCGCCACGTCCACCAATACAGGTGCATTACACACACACGTATGAAATGGATGTGTGGCGCCATGCATCGCATATATATGTGTGTACGCAGCCGACCGGGAAATATGCAATGTGACGTTTGACGCGCATCGCATCGGTGTCGATGCTGCTGCTGGCAAGGAATACTGGACGATGGACGGCTACAAGTACTCGTCAAAGGATTACGACCCCATGCCGTGCGCCAAGGGCGACATGTGTGTGGTCTACACTCTTTTTTTCGTCGCCTGGGACGGCGAACCGATGGAAGGTTGGGGAGAACATCCCACCACCGGCAAGGTGAGCGAGTGAGAGAGTGGGCAAGTGACAGTGCAGTATGTGCATATGTGTGTGTATCTGTGCAGGGCATCTGCATGAGGTCATCTCTTGCTGATTCCTGCGCCAAGGGCAAGGTGTACGGACTCCCCGAGGCACACTATATAGAAGAGTTGGAGCGCAAGGCAAGAAGCAGGAGTTTCTGCATCACTCCCAAACCGGTCAGTACACCGACGATACATATGCACCGACCTACAGCAAAGGGGATCCCTCTGTCTGTCTGTCTGTCTGTCTGTCCGTCCCTCTGTGATGTGTCTGGCTGCGCGTCTGTGTGTGTTTGTGTGGGTTCTGCAGAACTTTTCCGGTACCGTGGTTCAATCCCTCTATCACGTTGGAATTACGTTAAAGCGGGAATCCCTTTCGCTTGAGGCTGAGGGACCCCTGGCCATTAGCTACGAAAGTGGAGGCACAAAGAGAATCGTCTACTTCCCAGGCAGCGAAGGTAGGCATACAATGTCGGCATCCCCACACCGTCCTGCCATCTATCACCATAATGATCTGTGCTGTCTGTCTGTCTGTCTGTCTGTCCGTTTGTTAGAGTACAAGCTGCCTTCGAAGTGAGTGGGCACCACCCGTCAGGGATACCAACACATCCACCCAACCACCACCATTCAGGACTAGATGCACACACACGGCTGGCTACTCAGAGGGGGGGAGAGGGGGGGTGGGGCAACAAGTCTGTCCGGCTGTCTCCCTTCGTCTTCCTCTCTGCCTGAGTCTGTCTGTGTACATTGCCGGAGGTCACACACTGACGCCCATGGATGGTGTGAATGGAGTGCACGTGTGTGGCCGGCCGTCTGTGAGCTTTTTTGGGGTCGGTGCGTCTGCCTTTGTGTTCTAACACGAGTGGGTTTGGTCCTATGATACCCTCTCTCGCTCTCCATCGGTGTGTGTGTGTGTGTGTGATCGTCCTTGTAGAAACATACTTACAGACCGAAACACAGAAACAGAGAGCGCAATGAACAGACAGAGAGGGGGTGAATGCATACAGACATCACTTTGGCTGGCTGGCTGGCGGGCTGGTCGTCTCACTCAACAACTAGTCCGGCTGGTCTCTCTTCTCTTTTCTTTTCTTTTCTTTTCATTTTGTAACAAAGAAAAGAGGGGGGAGAGGGAAAGCAAACAAACATAACTGAAACAAAAACAACACAAAACAAAGAACGCCAGCTGTATACACGCATCGCATCGGTGGTGTGGGTGCTCGGCGTACAAGGTGTCTCTCACGCACGCACCCATGCTTACTTGAGAGGTTTGTGTGGTCCCGGCGTCTTGCTGGCTGCGTGTGTCTGTCTGTGGTGTGCTCAGGACCCTACTCGATCGCATCGATAATCCCGATAGCCACACACACATTCTGAATGCTCATCGTGTTCGCCCGGTGTGAATGCAGCGATGCACACCTGGACTGTCTGACACGGTGACACCCCCATGTCTCTCTCTCTCTTGTGCCGTACCTGCCTCTCGAGAGATTGTACGGAAGCGGCCGAATGGCTGGCTGGCCACTCACTCACTCAGTGAACTACCTAGCTGTCCAGACAGGGAGGGATGGGGGGCGTCGTGGCGTGTCTTGCGCCAAGCGACACACAAACCGATTGACTAGCTCCCAGCACGATCTTGCTTGCGCACACACACAGAAAGAGAGCCTCTTGTCTTCTCTGCCCCCATGCGATGCGATGCGTGTGCAAACCCCAGGTGGCTGTTTGTCTCTGCAGCGCACAGACACAGAAGAGAGAGATGCATTCATAGTGTCTCAGTCAGTCAGGTGGTCTCTCTCTGCCCACCCACCTTCCTGCCTGCCTACCTTGATGCTGTTTGATGCCGCTCAGGGAGGTGGAGGGACTTCAGTCAGCGATGAATAGAATGCACTGAACTGGACGATAGCACGTCACATATATACGATGACGTAGACAATATAAAACCAACAGAGCACATGGCAGCAGAGTTTCTGGTGCCCTCGTTCTGTTTCATTGTGTCTGCACTTAATTAAAGTTTCGCCAGCCATTTGGCTCTTTGGACGGACGGACATCCACCCACACAGAGCAGAGGTGTGAGGTGTGAGGTGCAGGTATTTTCGGTGCCCGCCACTTTGCAGTGCAGCAAGTACTTACTTACTGTCTCTGTGTGCCCGCACCGCATGCCACCCGTCCGTCGCCTGCAGTGCCTCGCACGCAAAGCAATTCACACTTGACTGACACCCACTCAGTCAGTCACTCGGTCACTCAATGCCCACCCACACCACCCACACCCACCTGTCCTGTCCGTCCAGCAGCCAGCTACATTACATGAGACAGACACACAGGGACCGAGTCCACTCACTCACTCACTCAAATCAGACCACACCGTCGATCGGCTACACCAACAAGCTCAGTCAGGGTGCTGCGAGAGAGATGGCGGCCGGCCTAGCCTTAATTAATTAATTAATTGATTGCGTGTGTGTGTGCAGCAGTGGACGGCCCACGCACACACGGAGGGAGGGGAGGGGAGGAGGGGCGCGTGTGTGTGTCTGTGTGTGTGGCAGATGGACACCTTGACGCGAGTGGCTGAGCTGTCCTTCCAAGGTTAATTGGGTGCGAACGGACAGACCGCTGACGAGGGAACACACCGACACGCACGCAGCCAAACACGACGCGTCGATCATAATGAATGGTCATGCTGCAGTCAGTCCAAATCAGTCAGGTGTTCACTCACTCACCCACTCGCTGTACAGCAGCCTCTCTCCCTCTCACACCACCGCACCGCACCATTGCCGCACCACACCACACCACACCACACCACACCGCACCGCAGACTGCATGCCACGCAACCTGACTATAGCAAGAAACCAAACCAAACCAAACGAGACGCATCAAGGCAGGCAGGCAGGCATGCAGGCGGTTTGTATCGACCAGCAATCGTCGGTCGCATCGAATCGTCCACCACCCACCCTCACAGGCAGGTCAGGTAGGCTGGCTACCTAGTCATCATTCATTCTGCTTCAATTCACCAACCACTGATGCCCCCTGATGGACAGAAAGAAAGAAAGAGCCCCCGTATGGCAGGCAGGCAGGCAATCACCCACACTTGATCTCCCGCCCATTTGCTTGGCCATCTGGCGGATGGCCACACGCACTCCTCTCTTCGTTCGGCACCCCCTCGCCCCACCCCACCAGAGCTCTTCCCGTCTGGCTCCATCGGATCCACCCACCCACCCTTTGATTGATTGACCGATATATCACCCACTGCCCCGCCCGCCCGCCCCCACACGTGCAGTCCTCTAATCAATCACACGCCATGGTATGTATGCTGTGTACACGTCATATTGTAGTATATGTTATGTAATGGGTGTGCGTGTGTGTACGGCCAGCCACCTACATCTCGCTCTGATCTAAATGACCCTCGCTCCCTCCCTCCCTCCCTCCCTCTCTCCCTGACTACACACACTGGCTGGTTGACGGACGGCTAAACTGACTATCTGCTCTGCCAGGCTTTGTGTCGGTTTGGTGGGCGTGCAGAGAGGGAGCCTTTTTTTTAGTCGAAGCCGAAGGCGTTCTCCATGACCCAGACGAACATGATCGACAGGGGGTACAGCGCCAACACAAACAGACCGTCCTTCAAAAGGTGAACCTGACAGACACACACACACAGACAGACAGACCACAACCATATCGCCGAACACACACATGGACACATTCATTTACACACACGCGCATCCATGTCATTCAGTCGGCAAACGGACAGCTGTGTGTGTGTGTGTGTGTGTGTGTGTCTGTGTGACTGACTGACCCGTTTCATGGCGATGAATCCCATGCAGAGCTCCACGAGCAGGATGGCGAGGGTCTCGGCGCTGAAGGACCACACGAGCGACCGGAAGAACACCAGCGCCAGGAAGATGGCCAGGCAGAATGTGTTGTTCATGCAGGCCGCACCCTCCAAAGCTATCATCAATCAACGAACGCATGCAGGCAGGCAGGCAGTCGTGTTACACAACACATCACACAGATGAGCAGAGACCAGCAACAAAGGCGTCAGTCAGCACGACCGGTGTGGTGTGGTGTCATGTGGTACAAACCTGCGAATGCGATGGTGATGGTCTTTCTGGTCTTCTTGAGTGAGTAGTTGTAAGACGCTATCAGCTCAGACGCATTCGACGCTATACACACACGCGACACACACAACACAACACAACACAACACACGGAATATCAGCCAGCCAGCCAGCCATCCATATGTCCTGTCTGTCTGTCCGTCGTGAGCGAGCTACACACGAGTGTGTGTGTGGTGGTGTGTCAGTCGCATCACAGGCGACCTGACTGACCTAGTGGTGCGAGGACAAACGAGATGTAGAAGGCGGGGACGCCCGTCCGCTCGCCCACACTGCTGAACACATCCACCTGCACGCACAGTCACAACACACACAGCACAGCACAGCACACGAACGATCCACACAATTCCTCGCGGGTGGATGGATGGATGGCGCTCTCTCTCTCTGTCTCTCTCCGTATGTGTGTGTGTGTGTCACCATAGGGTCAGAGAAGAGCAGAACCAGCGCGGTGCCGACGAGCATCATGTAGGCCGCGCGAATCTTGATGCGCAGCTGCTGTTGCTCGGGACTCAGATGAGCCAAATCGTCTGATGAAACAACCACACGCCATGGACACAACCACACCACACAGTGAGTGCATCCTTACGGACGATTCCCTCCATCGCTTCCTCACTGTGTGCTGACTGCCCGAGACTGACTGACTGACTGACCTGGGATGGATTCTTCCTCTTCATCTTCGCCCTCTTCCTCGTCTTGCTCCTCCACCGCCCCGATGCCGGCTGCCTCGCTGCCCACCGAAGTCCGCATCCCGTCCACGGCCATCGAAAACTGCTCCGGGCTGCATTCATCACACGAACCGCACCCACCCACCCACCGACGAGGTCAACCGATCAGTGAGGAAATCAAGACGTGCATAGGGGCATAGGGGGATGTATGTCATGGTGGGTGGGTGGGTACCTCTTCTTGACGTAGTGTATCATGGCGTTGACGAACTCCTCAAACTCTATCACGCCGGAACTGTGGGTCCATCCATCCATCCATCCACACAAGCAGACATGAACGAGTCTGTGGCTTCGTCTGCCGTGCTATGCCGTGCTGTGCTGTGCCGTGTTGGGGTGTGTTGGTTTCTCTCTTGTGTGTCACTGGCTGAGTGAGTGAGTGACTGACTGACTTGTCCATGTCGGCTTTTTTGATGAAGTCGTGTATCTCGCGCTCGGTGGGAGCCTCGTTCAGGTTGCGGAACATGATCCGGATCTGACCGACCACAGACAGCCAGCCACACAACCACACACAACCATGCACGAGATTGTTGCTCCCTCCCTCCCTCCCTCCGTCCCAGTGCCACCTCATCATGGTCGAGTGAGCCCGTCTTGTCCAAATCCAGCTCGTTAAAGAACGGACGGAGCACCTCCTGCACACATCAACACATGAACACATGTATGCCATCGATGGATCGACCGGTGAACAAATGGGTGGGTAGGTACCTTCATTTGGTGTCTCATTTTCGGTGGGAAGGCCTGCAGCAGGGGCCGTGTCTTGCCGTCGGCCCCGACGCTGTCGGTGGAAGAGACGGTGCCCTGCTGCACACTCGGGCTGCCACGGAGGCCGTGGGTCTCGGAGAATCGAGGCGAGTAGTCGTGCGGCTCCAGCATGCGGAACAACTCAAACATCGCCTGCAGGCGTAGATCCACAGCACATACAGACAGGTAGACAGGCAGACACGTGCAGGTGTGTCAGTCATGTGTGTGGGTGCGTACGCCTCTCAGAGTGAGCATGCCGTCTTTGAGGGCCTTCCTCCTGCACACACACACACACATACACACATCCATCCGTCCAGCCAGCCATCCGCGACACACACGAACACACAAGACAGCGTGCTCATGTTGGCCTGCCTCGTGTGTGTGTATGTGTCTGTGTATGTATACCGGAGTTCTATGATTTCGTCTTCAAGCACCTGGTTGTGCTCGCCCTTAGCCTGCACACACACACACACACACGTATGTCTGCCGCATGTGAGTGTGTATGTGTGTGACCTGCCAGAACTGGTACACGAGGTAGAGGACGAAGCACACAATGGCAATCAACATGCCGGAGAAGGCAAACCAACTGCACGCATCAAGCATGAGCGAACGAACAGACGGCTACCGGACGGTGAGTCTGTCTGTCTGCCGCCACGCAGGCAGGCAGGCAAACCGGCATGCCAACCGTTCAAAGGATCGTTTCTGCTCGATGGTGTCGTGGATGACGGCAAAGGCCGGGATCTGCACGCACAGCAGGAGAGGCATGCAGGTGTGTGTCTCCATTCCATCTGTCTGTCTGTCTGTCTGTGTGGTAGGTAGCGTGTGTCCACCCCCCGACCTGTATGACGAGGTAGGTGATGGCGGTGAGGAGCATGATCTTGCCGTTGACCGCTATGCTCTTGTTGCACTTGACGCCCGTCTCTGCAGGCCATAGTGCACACACCGCACAGACAGAGAGGGCACACCACACCACATCATTCACACCGCCCACCCATCCCCTTATCCATTGCTTGATTGATTGATTGTTCTGTCCGTCACACACACACATACGTGTGAGGCTCCAGTTGTTTGGCGGGTCGAGTTTCTTCCAGTCGGGGTCGGCGTCCTTGGGTTTCTTGTAGGTCAGCTCCCCGCTCTCCAGCACATTCACACGGCCCCCCACAATGGACAGGAACCAGGGGATCGTCAGCAACATTATCGTCGAACCTAACCAACGAACGTGACAACACATCCATCCATCCATCCATGCTGCCTAGTCGGTCCATGTACTCTCTCTCTGTCCGTGCAGTCAGTCTCTGTGGTCGATCCATCGATGGTCCACCCAGCTACCTACCTGCAAGTGCGCCCACACCCACTGACAGCTGCTCCTGCGCGTCAGGGCCGAGCCCTGCACCGCAATGCAACGCACCTTCCCTCCCTGCATGTCTGCGTGCGTGGCTGGCTGCCAGTCTGACCGGAGAAGAGGACGATGGCGCCGTCCGGGACGGCTCCCAGGACGGGCAGCACCACCGACCCCACCAGGCCCGCTAAGGACGGCACCAGCAGCAGCAACTCGCTGCCCTCCGATATCAAATTGCTCTGATTGAGGGAGCGATAGACACGCGGGCGGTGTCACACAATACACACGCGCACACACACAGACAGAGAGAGAGAGAGAGGTTCTCGACATGGTCCCCCTCTCACACAGAGAGCTCAGCCCCTCAGCCCACTCACTGACTCACTCACTCACTCACCGCATTGAAGAGGATGTAGCCATAGCAGGCGCCCAGGAAGAGCACCTGGATGAACCCAGGCACGTCATACGGGATCTCATCCACCTGACACACACACACACACGCACGCGCCCGCCCAAACAGAACACATGCCAACCATCCATCCATCTCATATGACATCTGTGTGTGCGGTGCGTGTGGTTGCAGCTCACTGGAATGAAGAACTTCCCGAGTACTTCCCCCATGGCCGCCTGCGGGCCACTCTTTCAAAGGTATCCACGTCAGTCAGTCGATGGGCGCCCTACAGCCGGGGGAGCCACCGGAGGACCGATGTGCGCACGCTGCTCTGCTTCGCAACCAAAATGCCCGATGTGAATTATCTATCTAAAATGGGGCAACGGGTGCCCTCACACTGTCGCACCGTCACTCCTGGTGACTGGGAAGGACAGCTCGCAGTTGTGAGCTCGCAATGGTTTCTCTGGCCGACGGGGAGATCTTTTGAGATGAAGCAGCAAGGGAGCATGAATTCACACCCCGGAATGCAGCAAGGCGGGAGATCTGGCCACCCGCCAGGCGGCCCTCCCCCTCCTCCCAGCCATCACCAGCAGCAGCACCAGCAGCACCAGCAGCGGTGGGTGCCCACGACGTCTTCATCGTCCCATTCCCACCCCTCCCACCCCGCCCACTCACCGCCTACAGCATCGCCGGAGGACATCAAGGCCTTCGCCGGACAGTGGCAGTCACTCGAGCAGGAAAACCTCTCGTCCGCTGACTACGTGAGCCAGGGAGGGAGGGAGAGCAACACACACACACACACAACAGACATGCTCCCCTGATACACATGCACACGTGTGGTGTGGTTGTTTCCTGCCTGCAGTACTTCAATTCTTACGCGCATTTCGGTATCCACGAGGAGATGCTCAAGGACAGCGTGCGCACGGGGTCATACCAGAAGGCCATCCTGCAGAACCGGCATCTGTTCGAGGGCAAGACGGTCCTCGATGTGGGATCCGGCACCGGCATTTTGTGCATGTTCGCCGCCAAGGCCGGGGCGGCCCACGTCTACGGCATCGAGTGCTCCGAGATCGTCGAGATAGCCCGCAAGGTGGCTGCGAGCAACGGGCTGGGCGAGAGGATAACTTATGTGCACGGCAAGGCCGAGGAGATCGAGCTGCCCGTGGCCAAGGTGGACATCATCATATCCGAGTGGATGGGCTACTTCCTCCTCTACGAGTCCATGCTCGACACCGTACTCTTCTGCAGAGACAAAGTCAGTCTAACCCAGCCAGCCAGCCAGCCATCCAGCAAGGACGGCTGTCTGTGTGTGTGTGTGGTCAGTGGTTGAAGGAGGACGGTTTGATATTTCCCGACAGGGCGTCGATCCACATCGCCGCCATCGAAGATGGCGACTACAAGGTGGATAGATAGGCAGGCAGACGGGCGGCCGGGGGAGCAGACAAGACAGACAGACACACTTGACACACCGACATGATGTGGTGACTGGCTGCGTTTGTTGTGTGCATCTACCTGTCTGTCTGTCTGTCTGTCGACTGATGAATTGATGATGGTATGGATGTGATGTGATCACATCATCAGGAGGAGAAGGTCGGCTGGTGGTCGAATGTGTATTCGTTCGACTTCTCGGTGCTGCAGCGGTGCGTCATGGAGGAACCCATCGTGGTCAGCCACCCACCCACCCACTCACTCACTCAGATATTGAAGCTCACATGCACTACACTGCTCTGCACTGTCTGTTTGTCTGTCTGTCTGTTTGTTTGTTTGTTTGTTCAGGATTGCGTCGAGGAGCAAGCAGTGGCCACGACAAGCTGCTGTGTGCTGGTAGGTATGAGTTAGTGGGCTCTGTGCGGATGGATGGATGGAGTGCTGTGTGGTGTGTTTGTTTGCAGGAATTGGATCTTAAGACGTGCACCAAGGAGGATTTGGACTTCTGCGCCCCATACCGCATCACGCTCAAGCGAAAGGACTTCCTCCACGCATTCGTATGCCATCGACTTAACACACCAGACATTCATCCCCTCCCTATAGCACAGGCGGCCACGCTATCTCTGTGTGTGTGTGTGTGTGCAGATAGCGTGGTTTGACGTGTGCTTCAGCTGCTGCCACAAGCCTGTGTCCTTCACCACTGGTGCACTTACTTGGCGCACACTCACTCACGCGCACACACACGCACAACGACTGAATGCGGCCTCCCTCGTGTGTCCGTCTATGTGGGTGTGGCGCATGGCATGGCGTGCAGGGCCGCACGGGCGGTACACGCACTGGAAGCAGACGGTTTTCTACATGAAGGACGTACTCGTCTGCAACAAGGGAGGTCAGAGAGAAACCAACACCACCAGCCAGGGCTGTGGATCAGACACACAGGCGCTCTCTCTCTTTCTGTGCGTCTGTGCGTCTGTGCATCTGTGCGTCTGTGCGTCTGTGCGTCTGTGTGGTGTGTGGTGTGTGGTGTGTGTGTGGTACGGTTGCAACCCACGCTACGTATGTGTAGATGTGGTCGAGGGCATGATCGCCACGCGCAAGAGCAGCAAGAACCACAGAGACATCGACATCAAAGTCTCATACCAATTCGCAGGTCGGTGGCCGGTCATCGGGGTGGGTGGGGCGTACAGCCAGCCAGCCAGCCAGCCAGCGAGGCAGGCGAGCAGCCCTTCACTCAATCATCGGTGCAGTGATATGGGCGTCGTTGAATCAATCGTTGTGTGTGGATGGGATGACAGGTCTGTTGTGCAACGCCGCCAACACCCAGTACTACCGCCTCCGATGAGATGACGGACGCGATGGTTGCAGCCACGTGTGTGTGCAGGCAGGCAAAGCAGTCCATCGTGGGAATGATGAGATGCGTGAATGGGTGGGTTGATTGCACTTTCTCTGTGTGCGTGGTCGTGTTGCTTCCTTCCCGTCGAGTGAGTGAGCTGAGATGTGTTCGCAATGCAATGGTGTGTGTGGACGGAGGAGTGGACGAATCAGCGTTGCGCGCGCGCGCGCGCGTGTGTGTGTGTGTGAGCCGATTCACCTTCCTACCCCCCTGCGTGCCTGCAGACGTGCATACCGTGTGTGTGTATTTTAATGACCGCCAAGTGGCACCCCATCCCATCGATCCCATCCATCCCCCAACGCCCACGCAGACTCCCCTTCTCCCAGTTTACGGCCAGGAACCCGATCTCGCGTTTTATATGCGGCATCGGTAGGCTAGGCGGGCAGAAAGAGAAAGAGCGAGGCGATTCATTCGCAAGCCGGGTGGTGTTGTCTGGTCTGATCGGTGTGTGTTCTTGCTTGTCGTGTGTGTGTGTGACCGATCAGATCTTGGGGAGCCTGCAGTTGTGCAAGGGCTACTCATGCGGCGATGGGTGGCGGTGTGTGCATGGTGAAGTTCAACCAGCCTGAGAGTGTGTGCGCGCCAAACTACGTCCGTCCGCCGCGCATCGACTCGACGGGCAAATGCGTCAAGAGAAGTACTGTAAGTGCGACGAGGGAGAAGACCACACACACACATACGTATGGACAGTTGACTCAACTGTGCACTGACGGCTGCTCCCTCTGTCTTTGGTGCAGCTTTTCCTGAAATAGATAAGTGAATGATGGATGACATGACGACGATAGTCAGCTCGATCAGCGACAGTGGTTTAAGTAGATGCATGAAACGGGCGACGAAGTTCGTCTAAGCATCAGTTTGTATCAAGCAAATGAGGCGAAACAATACATGCAGAAACAACGGACAGCGCTCGTTGACTGCGAAAAACGTGTCGCACACTGCAAACAAGCGCGAGACATGCAAACAGACACGCACATTCAGAACCCAGGTCCAGCCAGCCACCTTACAGCCCCGCAGCGGGACTGGTGTGGGGCCTGTATGGCCCGCGGCTGACGAAGTCCTCCGG